TTTAAAGATTTATTTTTGAAATTCGAACCAATTCCTCATTCCTTGAGGAATAAAATTGTTGCTGTCACTGTCTTATACAAACATCCAGACGCGACAGCAACATAATTATTCCCCAGGTAATTTATCAAACCATTGAAAAATCAGCCTTAAGACGATATTTTTTATTAGTGATCGTCTGAGCAATATAAACAAACAAACTTGAGCTTTATATACATCATTTATATAGATTAAAATCAATCAATTTATTGTATGTTTTCATTAAAGATATTTATTTTAAAGATTTATACTTTAAACGTTTATGTATATAATATTTGTTTAATAAAAATTCGTAATAATTTATAAATTTGCGTTTGTGCGTGTGTTAACTATATCGTATTATGCATATTGTATGTAGATTATGCAACATACATAAACTAACTAATGCCCTCGCATTTCTGACCTCGTGAGAAATCGCTGTGAGAAATCCATGAATAAACATTACCTTTGAATTAAGAATTTTTTCTCCACTTTTATATCGCGAACAATATTAACTGTACTTCCAATGACGTCCTTGTATATAAAACTATACCTACTCGTACACTAGCTGTTAATAAAAACTTCTTTTAAAACTTTTTTAAATAAAGAAACTGGCTAGATAGGATAGCATCGGATAAAAAACTTTAAGTATAACTGTTTGAGGGTGCAATTTTGACTGCGTCAATCTATTAAGTAGTATAAATAAAATGTCACAAAATTAATCTCTAAAAATCGCAAGACTTGACATTTAATGTTGAATTTTTAAAACTGTTACCCGTCCTTGTCATTTTAGTTGAAAAAGAAAGAGATATAACTAGTTTAAGTGCGTTAATTTATTTTGCACGAGTGAATGCAACGCTAAATAGCTTTTTTGAATATAAAAAATGAACTTTCAATGTCAATGCACTGGACATTTATCGTTATCAGATCCTTTTTGACATTGTATGAGTAAAAAAAAACATTTTAAGTGTAATAAATTCGAATTCCTGAAGAATTCATATATTTAACCTATTTAAATACATAATTTGATACAAAGAATGTGTTAATGTACAGGTAATGTGACGATTTAATTGATGAATTTAAAACAATATCAAAAAAATAATTATAATAAAATATTGGCACATTTCTAAATTTCGAACGTCAAGTTTTTTTTTTAGGTACCTTCAAAAATCTGAATAATATGCAATACACGAATAAGTTTAAATTATAAATTCATTTATTGCTAGGCTATTAAAAATTCAGTTTAAAGGACACACAAGTCAGAAATTGAAAAAAATGAAAGTTTTGAATTTGTGTGTCGAAAGATTGCCTAATTTTATATCGATGGCTCATGGCCACCCACTCATCAGGGGGTCAGACTTGGCCGGTCTAAAAAGCTAGCTCAGATTTTGATTTTTAATGTCATAGGTCGGCTAACATGCAGACAGATTATCTGATGGTAAGCAATCGACGCCGCCCATGGATACTCGTAATGCCAAAGGAGTACACTACAATTGCGTTGCCGGCCTCATGTTAAGGCTTTATGGATATAGGATGCCTCCTCCCCCTTTTGTCCCCATCCTTAAAAGGAAGGATTGGGCCTGTGGTAGCTTCGCTCACACGGCGAAACACAACGTAGGTACATAAGGTGTTGCTTCACACCAGTTTTCTTTTAGGCAATAATAATGTCATTCCGGTCGACACGCCCCACTCGTGCCGTGGATTTGAAGGGTAAAAAAAAAATTATTTTCTATGCACAAGCAAAATGTATCTCTTTCTTAATCCTATCCTTTATGTACTACAGAACTCTCGTCTTTTGTTTTATTCACTCATCAAGTTTTCTCTTATTTTTAATTATTGTACGTTGAGGGTACTGCAGTTAGAGAAATTAAAAAGAAAACTGTGACAAAATGTTGTACTATAGTATTGCGATTTAGAAAAACCAGTGGAATAATCCAAACCAATCAAAAATGTTGTTAAAAAACCTACTTAACTTTGACATTATTTATTTGAAACTAACTATTCCCGCGCGGTTTCACTCGCTTCTCGTAGAGTCTAAGAGTCGTAAGAGTCTTCATTTGATTGTAGCGTGATGTATTATAGCATTCATGAACATTGTAGCTATCAATAAGTGGAAAAATTAGGAATCCAACCAGTGGTTACAAAGATTACCTCTTTATAATATAAGTATAGATTTGTATAAGTTAACGTAACATTGAACAAAATAGAATCGACATTTATAAAGATTCTTCTATCCGTAATCCCACGATTAACCTTGAAACTAACCATGACCTACGACAAACAAAACACATAATATAACACACCTTAAAGAAAATTTCCTGATTTATAGATTATAAAAAAATTAACAAAATAAATTTAATTTATTATTCAGAAAACAAGGACAAGAAAAATCATAACTTGATTCGAATTCCATGGCCAATGGATGATCGTTCATTCCATTGATAGCTTTAATTGTGATTACCTTGGAGGTTAATAATCATCTGTTATAGTAATCAGTACGATGGTGGAGTAGCAACCCTATAATAATAAGTAATATTTGCAAGTAATCTTTATTATAACTAGATAAGGTGACAATTCGAAAAGCAAAAATGGTAATGCATTTCTATTGCTGAGTTTTAGTTTTATAGTAGCTACTCTCATGCGGTTTCACCCTCTGCTCGGCTCCTACAGATAGTACCGTAATGTTTTATAGCATTCTTCAATAAATTATGGTATATTTAACAGATTTTTTTTTCAATTCGAACCAGTAGTTTCTGAGATTAGCGCGTCCAACAATACAAACAAAAAATTTTTAGCTTTATAACATTAAAAGAATAGATTTATTTTTATGTTAGGTGCGTACGGTTAATTCCTGTTCATCTAAAGATTATCAGGAAGAGATCATCCATTTTTTTTTTGTATTTGCTTTTAATTTCTTTTTTCTAATAATGAAATAAAAATGAGTAGTAAAATAAATGCCTTATTTCTTTCGATCTTTCTCTATCTTAAGCTCTTTAGTCTTTACTAAAATTAAAACAGATCCAATCAATAGTTTTTACGTAAAATAATTACAAATTATTATACATCATCAAACATCCTCACAAAAATAGAAAAAAATGTATAATCACTCCTTCTGCTATTCTCTTTTTAAAGTGATAATCACAAACTCATAAAAAAAATTCAGGAATATACTATAATAACCAAAACAACGCAATTCTTTGTATTGAGAATAATAAAAAAATAGTAATTTCTAAAGAGGAAAATCCGTAACAATCATGTTTTTTTTTCAACACCAAACCAAAACCATCATTACATAGAATGATACATCTCGATGATTCCCAGTTCATCTAGAACTCTATATCATTACTCATGATCATCGTCATTTATCTTAAACAATTACACCATGACTGAGATACTTAAACACTATGAGACATAATCATTATATGATTATTCATCATTATTTAATATATCCGTTTTATTTATTACATAAACAGCTTATTGAGGATACTTAGATTTGTCATTGTTAGGATAGCTTCCATAGATTATTGGTTGTATTTAAAATATTAGATATATTAGATACCTTTTAAAAAAATTTAATGTTATTAGATGTAATTATCTAGTTTTCAAATTGCTTTATTGAAAATATAAATACCTAAATGACAATATTTTACTATTGATTGAGAATTCTTTTTTTAAATACTTCCTACAATTAAAAAACATTTTCTATGACATTTGCAACCTCTTTAACACAGATTTAAGTGCCACTACAAGAATCACAATAATTTTAAATTCAAAAATAGAACATATTTTTTTAAGTTTTCCTAAATCGTAAACGGAAAAAATTGTGTTTTATCGACGTCGATCGTTTTTATTTCTCAACAATGAAGGTATTAAGGTCATTTCGATTTCCTACAATAATTATTGTTCACAATGTAATCAATATAAAAGTATTTTAATTGAGTACAAGATGACCTATTCTAGTTGTAAAAGTAAGTGTAAATAGTCTCCAAGATCTAAAATCCATCTTTATCCAGATAAAAATATAAAAAAGAAACATAAAATTAAATCGCTCAGTTGTTATTTTTTCCTCTATGTACATATCTATTATTTTCTTATTAATATAACACAATCTGTTTTATAATAGAATACATATTATTCCTATTATATAAAAAAAAAATATCTAAAACTGTATCGCCACTACACTTCGAAATTAAAAATTCTTTCAAAATTTACCTTGTACAATCTTTCACTAGAGTCAAGATCTCCTTTGAAGTCCAATGCAATTTGATTTTTTAATACGCAATATACCTAAATTTTGAGTCCCACGAGTGATGCAAATCCGTATACATTTCGAAACTACGCATAACATTATACCACCTCTCTAAATGTCAAAGCGATCTATCAAAAAAATTGATTAGTATCGCAAATCATGCAATGATTTCGTGACCATTAAAATTTTTAAACAAAAAAAATATTCCAGAACCTACATTGAGAATTTATTTTACGCCCAAAAAAGGAAAACCTGATTTCACTTCCGATATTTAAACAAAATTATTCATTAAACACGCAAAAAAAGAACAACTAAAATAAAACCGAAGAAAAACAAGTACGATTTTTGTTATTTATAAAAACTTGATTTTAATATCGACGTAACTAGACGTAGCGGGTAGTTCCATTCTAATAAAAAACTAAAGCTGTTTTTCCATCAAAACATAATTTGCAATTCAAACAATGATAATATCACATTTATATTATTTTTTTGTATTATCGATTTCAAAATAGTTCGCAGGAGACAAAAATAGCATAACAAGGTTCGTATAAATCAAGATTTTTTTACAAAGAAACAGATTTGATACGATTATTAATTACCGTGTTTAACAAAGGGTATGTAGACATCATGGAAAAAACTGGAATGTATTGGCCATTATGAGAATAAGTGGCCTACAAACAATTACAAAGAATACTAAAATTCCCAATTTCCTTGTAAGCCGGAAATAATTACTCACCGTTCATTTTCGCCAATTCCTTCACCAACTAAAAATAACGTCCAAAATCACCAACTTGATTACACTTAATCGAATAATACTACAGTCAAATACACTACACTTTTAATTTACACATTAAAAGTTACTTAAAATAATTATTTTTCTCAAAATAATTATTTCGTACAATCCGTTTGGGACTGTGAATTTATTTTTCGAAAATGCGGCTAGACCGGAGGCTGCGTGCGGGCAAGCGCGCGTGTCGTTAGATCGAAACAAAATGCAAGGGAGCAGTTCAAGCGTCGATGTAATAAACATTCGGTGCGCGCACGCCGATAAAGGTTTTGTAGGTAGATCAAACTGTACGTGACGATACGCGATATCTGTATAATTGATAGTTATAAAACACGTATAGATTTACAAAAAATACATATTATCAATAACTTTTTTCTTCGCTCATTTAAAACTATATAACAATAGAATTTATGCATTCTATATTTGTTAGTAAATTAGTTCAATAAGAATGGAAAATCATTTTTAGAACGTTGGTAAGTGTTTGTTTTAAGTCACTCGTGTCATACCTTTTTTAAGTGGGGATAGGATCATATACCTTATCCTGCCCCTGGGTGGGGCGAGAAGGTATGTCAGACTTTTTTTTACTAAAACCCACCCCGATCCTTCTCCTCCTCCGGGCTGGGTCTGAGGCAAACTATTGTGCTTGTACCCACAACTGTCCTGTATCAGTCTAAACCTAACAAAATAAAGAATAAATTAAATTAATAATACGATAGTTTAGGAATAAAATACGGTAGTTTCCAACTAATCAAATTCAATACTTTTATCCAAATGTCAAAAACGACACTTTTCTATGAAATTTGTATGAAATACTGACTTATGACGTCATAGTATTTTTAAGTCAAATAGCTTACTTATTTCTTAAAAATTAGCTAAAAATATATAAAATTTAGTGTATCAATCGATCGATGAATGAAAGTATAGTTATTTTACAATATTTTATTGTATTGAAACGTCGAATTAATTTATTTTTCACCTAGGAAACTACCCAATTTCATTTAAGTAGAAATTTTATGATGTCATATAGATTAGGTACCTACTTTTGGATATATAAAATGCAAATGTATAACAGGAAAATCAATTTTTATTGCTTTACTTTTGAGTTCATTTACCGATTAAATAGCAAAATTAAAATTAAGTATATGTTTTAAAACATTGATGAACTAAGATAAAGAAATAAAATTGAAATTGTATTTATGCATTTTATGATAAAAAAAAAACTGGTTAATATCCTTCTTTTTTTAATACCTACATTTTTTTGTTAAAATCAAACAAGACTACCATATTTAAAGTTCTTTTTTGTTTTTAGGATAAATAAAAAGACATTCATGTCAAAGCTACAGTAAGTATTCGATTTATAAAACTAAATATATTTGGTCATGTTCGAATATTTAAATCTTAACTTTTTTTTATATCCCAATATTAGCATTCGATGGGCACTGTCCGTGGTCAGCCGCAACGCCAGAAGAGTTACGAGTGCGTTGCCGGCCTTTTCAGGATTAAGGTTTCGGAGATTTAGGGATCGAGGGAAGGGAAGAAAGATTGGGCCTTCGATAACCTCACTCAATGGTGCAACACAACACAACACTGTGATTGTTTTACGCCGGTTTTCGAAATATCAGAAATGGCACTTCCTACAATATTATTATGGGTTCGAACAGAAATAAGCAGATGGACCACCTGACGAGAAGCAATAGTCACCGTTAATAAACACCTGCTACACCAAAGGAGTTACAGACGCATTCCGGCCTTTGGGGAGATTTGGAAATTCAAAGTCAAAATCATTTACTTATTTCAAATAGACTACAGTAGGCACTTTTCAGACAAGACGAAAGTCATGGCAAACGCCCATGTCACGCCCTATCCGATATCAGTTGGGAGTTCTAACCTCGAAATTGTTGACGAATATGTATACCTAGGACAAGTGATCCAGCTAGGTAGGTCCAATTTCGAGAAGGAGGTCAATCGTCGAATCCAACTTGGATGGGCAGCGTTCGGGAAACTACGCAACATCTTCTCGTCCAACTTACCTCAGTGCCTTAAGACGAAAGTCTATAATCAATGTGTGTTACCAGCGATGATCTATGGAACTGAAACGTGGTCTGTTACTGTGGGCCTTATAAAGAAGCTCAAGGTCGCTCAGCGTGCTATGGAAAGGGCTATGCTCGGAGTTTCTTTGCGAGACCGTATAAAAAACGAGGATGTCCGCAAACGAACAAAGGTTTCCGACATAGCCCAGCGGATTAGTAAGTTGAAGTGGCAATGGGCAGGGCACATAGCGCGTAGAACCGACCGCCGCTGGGGCAGAAGAAAGGTTCTCGAGTGGAGGCCACGTACCGGCAAGCGCAGCGTAGGACGTCCACCCGCAAAGTGGACAGACGACCTGTTTAAGGTCGCAGGAAGCCGCTGGATGCAGGTCGCTTCCAACCGGCCTATCTGGAAGTCAATGGGGGAGGCCTATGTTCAGCAGTGGACGTCCTGTGGCTGATATGATGATGATGAGGCACTTTTGACCGTCAAGCCAAAAAAAGAAAATAATATTTCAAGAGGTTTACTGTATACGTGCCAGTTTATCCGTCTTTCCTCTAGTGAAGCTATTTGCTCGTTTCGAAGTGTAGATTCCTATGGAGAAGAACAAGCAATTTCAGCCGGGGTTGCGGGGTATGCGCAATGAGGTACCGTGACCTCGGCCCATAGCAGGAAAAGGAACGGAGGGTTTTTAGTCAGTAAGAGTAGTAGAGTAAGAGTCTGACACTCCCTCCCGCCCTACCCTGGGCGGGAGAAGTCATTTGATGATATTCCCCTCACAAAAAAATGGTTACTGAATTGCAAATGGTAGTGAGGTAGGATTATTAGGATTGCGTCTCCATTAACCTTATACGGTGAAAGACAATGAAAGTGTTTGTTACGCCCCTTTAAATTTAGAGGTCATCACGGACGAGTCGACCTTTTTGTGCCAAGTCTTGGTTCTCCCACACTTGACCAAATAGGTACATATTTTAACTCATAAAATAAATATTTTGATATACTGTTTTTGTTGATTATAACATATTTTTTATATAATAAACACATAATTATATTCTCGTTCACTAAGTGGAATAAATAAGAAACAAAAATATTGCGTCATATGTTGGTTTTTTGTCCTGTATGTTGTGGTCGATGATAATACTAAGTAAACATATACCGCAACAATTACATCGAGCAATAAGGCACCGCGCCCTCGGCCTAGACATTATCATCATCATCATCAGCCTATAAGTGCCCACTGCTGAGCAAAAGCCTCTTATACGGAGAAGGTTAGAGAATCACTCACCACACTTGCTCAATACGGGTTGGCAATTTCAAAATTATAATTAGAAATTATAAGTTAAAATATGAAATTATAAGGTTTCCTCACGATTTTTACCTTCACCGTATGTCAGTGGTGTCTAAATAATCATAGAAAGTACATATAACTCGGAAAAAGTCACATTGCTAGTTGCCAGGTTTCGAACACCCTCATGCATGAGAAGCGGGCTCCTTAACCTCCGGAAACCGGAACCTCACGACTGTCGACGAAACGATCGGGGGTGCTTTAAATCAGTAAGAGTCTGACACTCCCTATCGCCTCACCCTGGGCGGGAGAAGTCATTTAATGATTTTCCCCTCACAACAAAAACCTCACATGGGGCAGTAGTTGGAACAGGGGAGTTTTAATTTAGCCAGTCTTACTGCTGGCTTTAAAAAAAATACAGACTGTTAATACAACCTCCTTCGTAAGCAGAGTTGTTAACAAAATAAATAAATAAAAAAAAACACTGGGCATTATCCAGACTCCATAATATAACCGACCAATATCGAACAGCAGAAAAATCTTAATACCTAACACTTTGACCGAACAAAGAATCTGGTCTGGAATTTATAAGGCAGAATGTACTTCACATACTTATAATTTGTAAATATTTTATGTACGTGAATATAACTTATTGGATATTTAAAATAAAAAAAAAATCAGGAAAAGTGGTTGACCTAAATGAACCTATTCCACTTTTTTTCCAATAATGTAAATATTCAAAATCATGATTAAGAATTTACATACATAAGCGATTTGTATAAAGTTGAAAATCAAATAACCTTTTTGCTTTAATAGTTGCTACCTACGAGTTTTGAGTAAGTGTTTCTGTGCATATTTTTTTATTATTCTATTTTCAAAATGCTTTTTGTATGAAATGGTGACTAAGCCAAGCGTAAATTCTATTTTTCGCGCGACGTTCCCTGTAGTCCCTCATCCATTGCTGCTAATGTACATAATATTTGTGTTTGCACGGACGTAGCCAGTGCAATGTACGACAAATTGTAATTATGAACGATGCTTAAGGAATTACATACACGCAGACTATGAACAAGGCTAGCTGGCAGAAACAGAGCCAGAGCCAAACAGAACCCCAGTAAGGAACGAAATGTTTTTTAGGAGACTCTTTCTGAGTCTTGGGAGTGAGAAAATATTTGATGATTTTCCGTAAAAAAAATAAGAGTGCGAATATGTCGCAATGCCATCGAGGCTTCCCCATCGCGATGTTTCTCAACCGAAGGTGCAAGCGGAATAATGTACTGAAGCCCCGGCATGGAGCGGGGTTAGTAATGAATAGCCACGCCAATTCTTTTTTTTGTGTGTTTGTTATAGTTAGAAGCAGCTTGTTTAGAAAAGTAGGGGGAAAAGTCGGAAGAGTTGGATACCCATATGAAGCAGGGGCGGGCACTGGATTTTATGTCAAAATGATTGCTTTATATGTTCCGATATTGAGAAAAAAATTGTCCCACCACATTTTGAGAAAAAAATACATTTTTTTTAAACCATTTAGCACCTTTTTATTTCTTTTGTCCTGTTGCCTGAACCTGTCATTAATACATTGAAAAAACACAATATTTATCTAACTTCGCATTGTACTTATTTAGTACCTCTATTTAGAAGGTAAAGAACAAGCCTTCGTCACAATTTTTAGTGTATTTGAGACTGTGTGAATTGATCCAAAGCTGATAAGTATTTACTTTTTGAGTACCGCTAATTAATGAATCATATAAAGCTACATCAAACCAGATTATCATGATCTCGCCTTGTGAAATCTTTTAACATGTTCACCGGTCAGTTTATAGTGGATTTTATATTTTGATATGCAGCCGCGTGAACCATGGTCAAATGTCAAAGTCTTTGTTATTAGACAAACAATTCAGTATTTAGTTCAGATTTTGATTGTGATTACAACATGCTTGAGAAAAAGATTGAAAGATTAAA